CAATTTGAATAATAAAGAATGAAAGTCTCTTGCACTCATAAAACTCTACAATTTGAATAATAAAGAATGAAAGTCTCTTTCACCCATAAAACTCTATAATTTGAACAATAAAAATGAAAGTCTCTTTCACTCATAAAACTCTATAATTTGAATAATAAAGAATGAAAGTCTCTTTCACCCATAAAACTCTACAATTTGAATAATAAAGAATGAAAGTCTCTTTCACCCATAAAACTCTATAATTTGAACAATAAAAATGAAAGTCTCTTGCACTCGAATATAATCAAAACAGCAAGTTCTACTGACGAAGAAGAATTGTGAAGTAATATGATAATATTAGGAATGTAGTCATCACTAGGTTCCACCGACAAAAAGAAAAATAGTGTGATGTTACCTGATATCATATATGACTGTAGCTCTCGAATGGTTTCAAAAACCATGTATTACACAACAGAGCTTAGTCGAAAAAGCTGACGCGTAAATACTGACATGTACGTTTTGAAATATATCTATGGTAGTAAGAAGTATAAAACAATAGTTATACAAGTGTTCCGTGATACGTTGATAAACCAAGAAATATAAAAACAAGACAGGAAAAATGCCTTTAAGATCATTCTAAAAGCTCTTCTCGATGAAGACCTATTGAAATGAAGAAAATGATGTAGGCTAGGATAATAATGTTCCTTTTCACATATAAAAATTGGAACGTAAAAAACGAATTACTTATAAACATTTCTCTTCTCGTCTGACTTCTCTTTTTACGCATTCGTTCCTTTCTTGTTCGTTATAGTTGAATGCTGTTAGTAATTGATCGCTTCCCAGTCATCTGCTTGTTGTCTCACGAGTAGTTCTATATATTGTTTCTCGTGTGACGCTTTTTTGTTATATATATTCATGTTTCAAAGGAAGGGAACATCGAAATGTGTTTTCAATTTATTGAGTACGGGGTTAACTAAATACTGCAGTATAGCAAGATTTCGACCTTCCTTCTTATTATAGAAAATCGCTATTGGTTAACGTTTGTTTTTACTTTTTGTTGTACGCAGCGCTAGTGGTTAGTTCTGTCTTGCGCATTATAACGTTTTTATACATTCCATAAAGAAAATAGCTGTTTGTTCTGAGAAGGTCACTCACTACCAAGAACCATCAGGTATCTCCCACTGTTTTCTTTACATTATATATAGTCTAACCTAGCATACATGTTGAAACGTTTTGAGACAATTTCTATGGATTATCAAATTTGAGGTTTCAAATTTTAATAAAAATGTATAGCAATAATTATTGAAGTATTTCGAATACTTGCTTTAGCGAAGAAATATAAATCGTTTATCGTAGAAGATTTATTAGAGAAAAACTACAGGTAAAATAATTTTATTTCTTGTATGCTTTATTTACATTTAGAAAGGAGAAGTACGAATGTTTCGGATCTCTTTTGGTATATACATTGTATTTATCTGTTTCAACTTTTAGCTAAATGAAGCTTTCAGATTTCTTTACACTGAGTTTCCTTCTGGACAATTCTTAGAAGAAACGACGATTACAAAGGTTAAGTACGTTATATTAATGCAATTCTGGAGCCTCACCATGATGTTGCTACGTGCAGTCATGATCTATCTGACGTCCGTGCATCTTGAAAATAGTCATGCAGTATAGATTCTATTGTAAAAGGCTTTGTCGTAAAGTTGTCATTTCCGAAGCAAATTGCTTTCCATAAGTAATCGTGTGTTAAAATGTTTACAGTTTTAATCAACTTACACAAATCTGTGAAGCTTTAATTTATATACAGCAACATAAAATTACGAATATTCTGTAAGTTTTTATAGTAACGGTAACAAATGTCAGAATCGTTTGAAACTTGAAAGATGTGTAGCGGACACTAAGAACTGGGAACTGTTTTCGTACACTAACTCGTGGGGCAGTAACAGAAAACTACGAACTATTGTTTTTACCAAACTAAGTGATCCTCAATAGTTTAATATAAAAAAACTAACGTATTGTTATGTACATTGTTTAGTAGAAAATATTTTACATAATTTTGTGAAAAGTTTCAACATAAAATTTGTTTATTTAGTTGATACACAAGAAGTTTAGTCACCATGACAGTCGGAAAAGCTCAAGAAGAAAATACATTTAAGGCCATGTTTCGTCGCTTCTTGCGCGACACCGTTTCTTGTGCTGGTTGTTCTCGGATTATCCAGTCTCAAAGTCGACTACGCTCATTTATTTGGACCTGCATCGTTCTTTGTAGCCTCAGTTGTTTGGTTTACCAAAACTGGAAATGTGTTAGAGAATACTTGAAGTACCCGAAAGTAATAAAGATGGAGGTAATTTATCTATCTATATATAATTTTTTTTTTAAATGCACCAAAAGTTTTTTTTTTTAAATTTGCTGTAAAGTGTTTTCAAAATACTCTTGAGTTCCTTTATGTAGTTTCTTATATTCACTAAATATAAATAAAAAAAAGTATTTTTGGTTTATTACTAAGTGATGACCACTGTATTAACAAATGAGTGAAATCTGGGTTTTAATTTGGAAACAGGTTGGAAAAGAAATTTGTGAAAAATATGTGATAGGTGGCTCTTAGTGCTTTCCCATATATATATATATATACAGTGATATATAGATCAGTTTTTGCCTTAGGCCCAGATCGAGTAACAGTTAGTCTTGTATTATATTTATGTATAAGGAGAGATTTAGGGTAATATAGTATTATATATTTTGTGTGAAATGTCTGTCAGTGCCCCCAGAGAAGCACTAACATTTTAAATAATATCCTTAAGGTATGTTATAACATGCTTGAACATTTAGGAAAGTGTACGGGCGTATGGGCAGCCCGTGAGCTGAGTGGTTGGGTTCGACTTTACACTAGTTACAAAGAAATGTATTTGGATTTCAGGTCGTGCTTTCGTGAGGGGAGCACACAAGCCACCAACTCGAGGAAGATTATATGCGGAATAAAGAACTCGAACAGAGACAACTGAATACAGATCAAATAACTTCGTTATTTACATGCTGTTGAACATTTCAGTTATATCGAAACTCGCAAGGTTCCACTGAAACAAAACTTACTCTAAATCATTAAATTCTTTACTTTGAAAGTTTAGATGTTCGTTAATAAGATCTTCTATTATGTTCCATAACATAGACATGAGTTACATTATCAACTATGTTAACACGGGAAATTCTCTTGGTCATAATCTTTACAACTGCATTGACAATTCTTCTAAGATAACTTTCAGTAATTCTACAATAAACGTTGTCAAATCTATTATTTCTTTAGTATAGTTAATATTCTTCACTTTTCTCTCTTTATACATTATTGACCCTTAAGTGAAACACTGTTAGACTTGATCAGAAATAATATACTTACAAGGAGTTTGTGCGGAAAACTTCTTGTACATTCTGGATTACTACCATTTTCTTCTGGACTCGGATCAGGTCCTCGAAGCAACTTGATAAGTGCGGAGAAGTCGATGTTTGGAGTCAGACACTGGAATTATATACAAAATTTTTAGAGTTTTTTCGATTGTTCAAAAAGTTTACCAGATCTACTTTCAAAAGTAGTTCTTTTAACTCGATTGGTACAAATGGATCTTCCAGCAACAAATGGACTATTCCATCAGACTTTAACCAAAATCCACTTTGTTATTGGTCCTTACAAGAACTTATTTCTATCCCTTATATAACATCTTTGGTGAAATTATCAAAGATAGTTAACTTAGAGCGTATAGAGACAAACCATGTAACTCCGGTCTCTTATCGCCGTCCTCTTAACCGCGTTTTTTGTGATATTGGTTCATTTCGTCGTGTGTTTTATTTCACTATTGGCGTTTTCTCAACATACCACGTCTGTCCGGCACGAGAATTGGTAGATGTAATTTTTTGCACCTCTGAGGTCACGAATGGAATGGCCCGGGCTAATTCCTGTGATGGGCTTCAAGCCTGTAGCCTGTATATTTCTTATTTTGTATTCTGGTTCAATAGTGTCCACGTTTTTCTTATGACATTTTCGATCTGCCGCTTTCTCCATACTATACGTTATATACGTTTAAAAAAATGAAATGTACTTCTTGAAAACATTTAAATATGTATATACTTAATATATGTATTCTACAAATACTTCAAAAGATTTAAAGACCAATGCAGTAAACCTAGATAAATCCAATGTAGTATGTTATGGTTTTGATTTGTTTTATTATCACAAAAGACAACAAATTATTTTAAAATTAGGAGACATTAGGAAAATATTAAAATATAGTAGATCAGCGAAAGCAACGATAAAATAACCATATAATAATTTTGAAAATTAATTGAGTTCATTTCAATATATTAAAGTGCATCTATCTACCTAGCTTTTAAAAATGTACCATGTGTGCCATTTTTGAAACAAAACTGTGTTATTAATCTTTCCCATGTGTTCTAGGTTCTCTCATCCAGGAACTTGCAGTTTCCAGGGGTGACAATCTGTGATATGAACCCTCTTCCCAAATCAGAGTTAAAGAACATGCAAAATAGACGACTTATAGAGGAAGTCAGAAAGTTTATCAGTAGCTGTCACAGAAAAAGGTAAAAACCTCAGTTTCTAGACATAAGTATAGGAACCGACAGGTTTATATATATATACGTATTTCGGTAAGAAAGAAAGAAACCCGGGTAGAGATATCTATATCTGTAACATCGATTTAAGGACAAATATTTCCTCTTCAGAAAGAAACCGGGTAGAGATATCTATATCTGTAACATCGATTTAAGGACAAATATTTCCTCTTCAGAAAGAAACCCGGATAGAGATATCTCTATCTGTAACATCGATTTAAGGACAAATATTTCCTCTTCAGAAAGAAACCAGGGTAGAGATATCTATATCTGTAACATCGATTTAAGGACAAATATTTCCTCTTCAGCAGTATCTTAGCAGTTCACAACTTTACGTCCCCCGGTGGGACAGCGGTAAGTTTAAGAACTTACAATGCTAAAATTCGGGGTTCGATTACCCACGGTGAACAAAACGGATAGCTCAATGTGACTTTGCTCTAAAACAAATGAATTACAGTTTTATTCTCGTTTTAGGCATGGCTACGAGGATAAACAGTTCACGGTGTCTTCTCCTATGTAAAAGGAGCATTGAAGCCTGACGAAAAGTCAGTATATTTGTGTACCAAAACAAATCAACAGCTATGACGTAGAGTCTAATAATGGAGATTTTAAATTCTGCGTGGTATTCAAATTATAGAGTTTTAGGCTCCACTGACAAAGAAAGATTGTGGTGCCATTTGGAAATATTCAAAGCTGTAGGCCCTAGTTACCTCCACTGATAAAGAAGGATTGTGATGTCATCTTAAATTATTCAAAACTGGAGTCATCAGCCGGTTTTGGGGATAAAGAAGGACGGCTGTGAAGACTTTAAAAAAATAAATAAAAATTAAACGTGCACGAGAAACTACAAGTTTACTTTGTGCATTTATTACTGCCTTTTTTTCTTGTGTAGTAGCCTTCTTTAGTTAAACAAGAAAGGTTTTCTCGTATGTAACCATAAATATATTTCCTAATTAAAACGTTTTTTTCCATATAGTTGGGCATAATATAACGTAATGTATGCTTCTCGTGCCCAGAAAATAAACTCCTTTCAAATCGTTCTCAATTATTATAAATAGTACAGAAAGGGAAACTGTAAGGTAGAATGTGGGAGAAGGACTGTAGAGAAGTGAGTAACCAAAAATACAGTACGAGAAGATTAAAATTACAGCTGGATACCAGCGGTAAATCTGAGTGCTTACAGCGCTAAACATCGGGTTTCGATACCCGCGACTAGCAGAGCATAAATAGTCTATTGTGTAACTTTGTGCTTAACATAAAGAAATACAAAGATAACTACATAGCTAGAGACAGAAAATACGGCCGCCATCGTAGCTAGCTGTGTATTAAAAAAGCAGGACAGAAATAAGGACTGAGATATTAAACCCACTAAAATATAATAAATCATATTCAGTTTTCAAACTAGCCTCGTACAATATCTCTAGATAATATTTAGTAACAAACCTAAAATATTAAGTTGCAATTGTGTAAGAAACACCAATAATTCAAACCTAATGATATACAAGTGAATGGTACATATCTTGTTTCCCAATTTTCGCGTAAAACTACACAGAGAGCGTAACCGTCTCTATTTTCTAAGTGACAAACTAGAAGTAATGCAGCTTTTCAAGAGTACCCACCGCCAACTCTTAGGTTACTATTTTCTGACCGAATAGTGGAATTTGACCACCACTTTTATAGCGCATCCACGACCCTAAAGTACAGAACGCGTTTTGGTGACAACCATCAACCATCGGATTCACATTCCGAGTACGCTTACTTAGACCATGCCCAATCCATGTGGACGATAATGCTGGTTCAGATACAGGTTTCATTATTATGTACAGTTTTCATCACGAGCCTGAGTCCAAGATAACACTATTGAAGTTTTGAGAAAAGGTGACAAAACAAAAGTGTTAATTTCATCAACATGTTACAGGTATACCCAGTATTCAAATACTGAGCATAACAAGTTCTGTTTGGAATATAAGAAACTGAATATTAATTATGTTAGTAAACCGCCCTTTTACGTTATCTATACGACAACATCGAAGAGGCATGAATGTTATCAGCTTTTGATTCTTTAAATTATCAACTGAGATTTCTATCTGTTTTATTTTTGTAGTACGGTATGATTCGAATAATTATTCCACTGAAATGTAGAAGCAAGGCCAATTAAAATAATGGGTACCACATGCGAACCAGAATGTTGGGTTACTGCTGTTTCATCAGTTAAACACTGTATACTGAGTACTACATGCGAACGAGAATGTTGGGTTACTGCTGCTTCATCAATTAAATACTGTATACTGGGTATCACATGCGAACCAGAATGTTGGGTTACTGCTGCTTCATCAATTAAACACTGCATACTGGGTACCACACACGAACCAGAATGTTGGGTTACTGCTGCTTCATCAATTAAACACTGTATACTGGGTACCACACACGAACCAGAATGTTGGGTTACTGCTGCTTCATCAAGTAAACACTGTATACTGGGTACCACATGCGAACCAGAATGTTGGGTTACTGCTGCTTCTTCACAATATTACTAATTAAATTTGATAATATATTCCACACCTTTAAAGGAAAACAATCGTGTTCATGTTTTACACATTATTGCTTAAAAAGGAAGGATTGTGTTGTCATCCGTTATCATTCAAATCTGTAGTCCTCATCTGGTTCCACTGACAAAATATGATTGTGGTGTCGTCTGGTATTATTCAGAACTGAAGTCTCAAGCTGGTTCCACTAGCAAAGAAGGATTGTGGTACCATTTGGAAATATTCAAAGCTGTAGTCCCTAGTTGGCTCCACTGACAAAGAAGGATTGTGGTGTATCTGAAATTATTAAAAATTGTAGTCCCTAGTTGGCTCCACTGACAAAGAAAGATTGTGGTGCCATTTGGAAATATTCAAAGCTGTAGTCCCTAGTTGGCTCCACTGACAAAGAAGGATTGTGGTGTATCTGAAATTATTAAAAATTGTAGTCCCTAGTTGGCTCCACTGACAGAGAAAGATTGTGGTGCCATTTGGAAATATTCAAAGCTGTAGTCCCTAGTTGAGAAAGATTAAAGAATCTACAATGCAAAACAAAACTGGCTGCAAATATACAAAAACGACTTGTAAGATTTCTTATGCATTTTTTTCTATAGATAGATCAAGAGATGGCATTTAGAAAATATCTTGAATTAATTTTGGAAAAACTTTTCGGATTAGTTTTTTAGTATAATCCCAGGAAAGAACGCCATGCATCATGAATTTGATATAAAGAGCGCCATTACAAATATCAGTTCTAGACTTAGATTTACCAGGAAAGAACGCCATGCATCATGAATTTGATATAAAGAGCGCCATTACAAATATCAGTTCTAGACTTAGATTTATTACTTACGAGGGTATTGAATCAGCTAATTACATTTAAACAGTTTGATGATAAATATATTATCCAAAAAGTTAACCATACGTTATTGTAACCACTTGCTTACGGTAAATTTGGTTAACTGACTTGAAAGGAACCAAGCTTCATAACAAATAACTCGATTTTCAATACTTAAATCTGTTCAGTTCCTTTCCAAACAAACGATCACCCAAAATTTATATCTATGCTTTCTGTCCATGTGGTTTTTAGTTTCGGTGATTGGGTCATGATTTGCAGCAGATCGTTTATACTAAACATTTTCCTGTAGCATTTTCATTGCAGGTTGATTCCTTTTCAGATCCACAGAATTTATTTTCACTCAGAAGTTCTCAACTCGTTGTTATGAGGCTAAGAAGCATATTTCCTTAAATTAGTATTTGGCTTAAGGTGACAAATTGCACGTCTATATTTGTACTGATTGCGAGAAGTTTTTTTTTTTTAATGTACATATGACAAGTTGGCATTTCCTCGCTGCTTGACAAAGTGAACTCATGGCATGAGCCAATAATTATTGGACAACCAAAAAAACGAAAAAATGTGTGATTGTACGAATGCCCATACACAAAATAATACTGTGTTCACTATTTTAATTTCTTACCTTTAATAAATTTACTTCTTACCCTAACTTGTCAAATATTATAAATAAAAAAAGTTTTACAAACATTATTTGCCAAAATACATTCTCGATATGTTACAATAAAGAGAGTGTTCTGGGCCAAACGGTGTTAAACTTACTGTATAAACAAAGTGATTTTTCAATGTATCGTGCTGTTTACGATGATTAATAAAATAAGAAAGGCTCCTTAGTGACGCTTATAACTTAGTTATAAATTAGTTTCAATATATGTGGTGAGCGCAGCACAGATTTCCCAATGTGTAGCTTCGTGCTCAGTAATAAAGAAAATAAACAAAAGGAATTCGTTGCGTAAAGGCTACACTGTTGTTGAAAATTACTTATGAAATGTGGACAATAAACTAAATATTAGAAAAATTGAACAAAAAATTGTGCTTTAAGACGATAACTTATACCGCAAAATTTGTTAACATTCTACAATAATAATTAAAATGATAACGAAAAGTCTTAATTATCAGTAAAAGGCACACTTCAAAAACTTGTATGACCAATCTGCCCTAAGTAATCAGTTGGGAATCCTCACTCTTAACCCCCCACCCCCCCAAAAAATTACATCCTAAAATGAATCAAAATGTTTATTCAAGTAACGAGAGTATTTGACTTGAAGATGTTGATGATTATACATCATATAACTGCACAATAAAGGCACAGAATGTTCATTAATTTTTGTCCATTTCCTATAAGCCTTTTAAATATCGTATTTTACTTAGTGCGTCGTTAAAAATATACATAATGCTAAAATTGAATAATGAGTGTAATATATCAGTGGATTTTGCACATTGTACATTAATCCATTTAATTAAGATGCTAAAAATGTCAACCATGATCTGGGAAATTAACTTTCATATTTTTAACAGCAGTTTATAGATAATGTTTGTTTGTTTATAATTAAGCACAAAGCTACACAATGGGCTATCTGTGCTCTGCCCACCAC